GTTATAACGCCCCCACGGCTGAAAGGGCGAGCATGTTTGGTGTGACAGGGATTCGAACCGCGACCCTCAGATTGCGAGTCGAGTGCCTTAACCACCTGGCCATGCCGGGCGGGGTTGTAAGATGGAAAATCATCATAGATAAGAATATATAGGTTTTTTAGGTTTTTTCATCTAAAAATAGCGACATTAATTTCTTGACGACCTAATATATGTCACTGAATACTGTTTATTTCCTAATTTCTTATGTTGGTTACGAGATCGGTCAAATCTATAGAACCCGTGGAGATTCGTAGTGAAAATAACAGATAAAATATAAAGTTTTTCTTTATGAAACGTTTGATAACTATCTGGACATTATAGAGATTTCGCCCGTGAAATTTAAAACTTTTCTGATATACAAAAATATGTTTAATCTGAAAATGAAAATTACTTTGCATGTTGGATAGGTAACATATGAAAAGAAGAAGAAAAAAAGCATGAGAAAAACATAGCTTAACAAACCTTAAGAATTAATAAAAAATTATATTTTGCGTATGAAAGCATTGTAATGTTAACTGATAATCTGCCAAATTTCGTTAACACAGGCTTACTAATTTAAAAGTTATAGCATAAAACTATAACAAGCACAAAATGGTTATGAGGTCGGTCCAACGGTCCGAGCCCGTACTTAAAGGGTTTTAACAACCGTTTATTCCATGTGTTACATAAGTTGTTGTGCAGTTTGAAAATAGCAAGTATGAATCTAAGCATTTTAGCGCATCTGAAAACATGAACAAAAGTAAAAAAAAGAAGGTGAACATTATTTAACATTGTCCATTATACAATTTTCGCTTCCTATAACGGATGTTCTCAGTGAGTGTAAATTAATAAAGGTCGTGGCAGCATATAACTATATATATGTGGCGCATGTTAAGAAAACTAAACAATGATATAACATCATGCCCTCTAAAATTAGATACACGCAGAAGAAATTAAGTACGTTTAATGTAGAAAAATCGTAAACTTTGCACTATAATCTAAACATATATAATATTATGTGTACTAAGCAGAAGAACTATTGTAAATATTAGGCGTAAGTATAATAGTAGATAGGAATCTTATTATAAGTTTAGGTGGTACATTGTGTGCATGTTAGCACCCATCACTTAGAGTGTGCTAGTTCAATTACCGTAATTTTTGGTATGGTAACTAGAAACTGTCCGACGGTGTACTTGGGCTATTTTGTTTCAGGATTTTTGACCAAGAAGGGGACAAAAAATCCCTCTGAAATAGAGCACATTTTCACTTTTTATGGATTTTTGGCTTTTAATTTAAATTCACGAGTACTTAATCAGTTCAATTAACAATTATTACCTTCCACATAGCAAGGTATGCAATTAGTATCTATTGAGGTTATTGAGGATTTAATTTTATAAGTGCTGGTACGTTTTTGTAAATTTGTAATATCATGAATATTAAATACTTACTTTACGTAGACAAAAATTCAAATAAGTGTTAATTTGTCATAAAAGTATAAATAGTTTGGTATAGAGGGCGCTACATTGCTATGATGCTTTAACTGGTGTCTGTATGTTCTTTTGCTTCGCCACACAAAGAACACAATCAAGAATAGGCGACTTATTAGCATCTCTGTTGTTCTTAAGCATCAGCGTTTCGATCAGTAGTGTACCAGTTAATGTTGGCTTGGCTTGACTAAATTAATAGGGCAATGTTACTGCATCGTTACTGATATTCAGAAAAAGCATTCCGATATGTAAATAAGCTATAGATTTTATTATATTTTCTCCTTTCCAGAAAGTACTTGTTCTGCATACTACATACTCTATCCCACAAACATTTTATTTAATATAAAAATAATATTATTTCATGCCTCGTTGTTTTTTCCTTATTTGAATAATCACCGGAAATAATGATTTCAAAAATTGAACTATAAACACACAAATGGTTTAAGGATTTAATAATTCTTTTACCTAAATAATTTTTAAAGCGGCAAAATTTAATGTCATTTATTGTAAACCACTCTTGATAGCTGCAATGTTACTGATGTGTATTTATTTATTAAATTCTGGTCAATAATATGCTCATGTCTTTCTGTTCATACCCTATAAAAATTATTAACTGTTTCCATTTTAAAGATTGTTGTACTGGTTTTTATTATTAGCCCGTAAATTGGATTATGCACAATCCATTTAACATGATGAAAGAAAATTATTTTACTTCTTATATGGTTAGCAAGTAACACAATTTCCGGTAGATCTTAGGGAGAAGGGCTTGTGAGGAACAAAGGAAAAATATGGAAATTTCAACTTTGTATACATGAACATTATTAATTTCTTATAAACATATCCTATTAACCAGACATTTTACATTTCTAAACAAAACATAATTATGGCTTGAGTAGGGTGACTGCATATCAAATTATTTTCATGAAAGTATGTTTAAGAATTAATATCTTGGGAACCATTGTATGCACATAGATATACAATGATATTTGAAGAAACTAAAAATCTTCTATAATCTTGAGCCCAAAACAGTGGCTTATACGTAAAGAATTTTTGTTCTAGGAAAGGTATGGCTAGTTTCGCAGAATTTATTTTTTCAGAAAGCACCAGTTAAAGAAAGAAAACAATACCATTTCTATTCGTTAGTGAAATAGTAGCCCAAGAGTTGGCGGTGGGTAGTCCCATTAGTATTTCACTGCTAGATTAGGGACGGCTAGTGCAGATAGCCCTCGTATAGCTTTTAGTGAACTTCCAAACAAACCAAACCAAACTGTTAGAAGGGCTCCCTGTTGGTCAAAACATGATAGTTTTAAACTTGAAATAAAATAAAATAATATTTAACATTGTTTGAGTGGTACTTAATGTATAAATCCCGAATTGTTTAGGATTGATGTAGAATATTTTATGAGTAACTAACAATAGTCTTGACTAGTTCATGAATATGATTATTGTAACTCATACTAGTCATGAGTCTCTGAAAAGATTGATGAAATATATATATATATATTTGACGAGAAAACGAATCCGAAAGAAAAAGATGCTACTAATGATGGTAAGAATTATTATAATTCCAAAGAAAGTAACAGTCCTGAGAATGTTGAAGACTCTCAAGATATGCATTGTAATACAAAATCAGTTAGTGAAAACGAAAGGAGACTTACGGAAGACAGTTTGATATTTATTTACAGGTTCGAGTTGGTGATATTATAACAGAAGTAAGAACAGTATTGGCAAGCTGGTATAAATACATTGAGCGAATCTAACTCTGTGATTTACGAAAATTTCTTTGCACAACCACTTATGATGAGTTGTGTCAGGAAATGCTCTGGAACCAGAGAATATTAATAATTTAAACTATTATCAATGATGTCATCCAATGTGATCTATTGCTAGAAGTTTTTTTTTTTTAATGAATATGTATTATGAATAAAGTAATATATAATTATGAATATCAATTACGAATGACATCATACGATATAACTGCATCCAGTGGAGGTCATCACCTTAATGTCAACCGGATGTTACGTTACTTGATCTTTATGACATCAGATGTCAAAGATCTGCCTCTCACCAATACTAGTCTTGAAGATTAATTAACCTATCTCTGGGTGACTCAGACTCTTAAAAATTATAATGCATTAACTTTAATAGACCTATAAATTCTTAGCACCAGGTCTGAATTCATGTTCTTAATCTACAAATTTGACAAATGTTATAATAAAGATATTGTTTCCTCAAACAAAATCAAGTTGTAAACATCCTAACATGAATCTGTTATTTTTTACCCCCTATATCTGTAATATTCAACTATCATGGTCATATATGTTCTGTTATCTTACAGGCTTACAACCACATGTAAGGTGGCAGAAACCTGGAATAGTTCCAGATAAATTGAATTGGACACTGCAACAAAAGAAGATTGATACACAAAGTACTGAAAATTTTGTAACTACTAATGCAATGAAAGAACAATTATATAACACAGCATCATATTGGTAGGCCACTAGAAGACAAATGAACTCGTAGAACTGCTGCTAGAATGCAAATGATAGCTTGCAGTCATTGTCTGTTTCAACCCAAATGGTTACGAAAGAAACTTTTAGCACTTCAACTCGAACAAAGACGAAAGCAACACTTTGAATTGAAAACATCACTGACGATCCATATTTGACCTAATTTTTAAAGGACTCAACAACTAGGCAGCACATGAAGTGGTGCTTCATTCCCTTGACCATGTAGTTTACGATCTTAATTAACTTTACAGTAATGTTGAGAAGCTGACTGTGAAAATCCATCTGATTCTTACACTGACGAAACTGAGAGAGAAAATAACGTAATCTTTGTGTACTTGGGAAATTCTTCGAAGTTTCAGAGTACACTATAACTCATATTTTCGTCACTTGTTTAAACTTGGTGGAAAAACGATGGAATGATCTAGATTTGTGGCCAGATCGTGACTTGATTGGATAAAAAACTTCAAACAAGACTTCCAATCTACAATTGTAATTGTTGGTGGCACTTAAGTTCCCATCAAAAAACCAAAATTGACTTTTAGCTCAAAAAAGCAATATGGCCAGCATTCAAAAAATAGAATACAGTAAATGTTTTAACTGGGTCTAGCCCAGGTGACTTAGTATCCTATTTGTCACTTCAATAAAAGGGCACAGCTAGTAACAGGCAGATAAAGAACTGGAACTTCAGCCTGAGGTGTGTGATCCAGGGTACTAGGTCAAGATTTATTTGAAAATGTCACTGAAGCAGTGAACATCATAACATTTGTCCGCAAGAAAGACAGTGTCTGACAACGATTGTAAAGGACAGGGACAGAAAGAATACAAATAAAAACGGTTATTACAGAGAGAGAGAATCACTGGCCTTTAAAAACTGATATTTTTTCATTTGCACTAAATGACAAAGTTTTCAAGTAATATAATGTTTGTTTGTTTCATGAATTGCAATTTAAGACTTTGCATTGTTTCTGAAATAGCTTGGGAACTAATTCTTGGGCAAATGAAAACATGTTTTATGTATTTTGTGGGAACGAAGATAATTATAGATACAAGGAAATATTTGAAATATTTATTACGTCTTTGAACGGAACAATAGATTTTATCAATACACAAAAGACTACATATTGGTGTCACGATTTATATTGTTGGGCAGGTTCTTTTGGATTGTTCAGTATGAAAATAAACAATGCAAAGTTCAGTACACTTAATGTTAACAAAAACATTTTATTTCTTCGACTATAAATTCTACAATTTCAACTAACATTCACTCTCAGGCCTAAGTTCACTGTAGACGCTAATACAAAAATTTTACTTACTAACTTCTCTCTTTCTTCTACCTTTAGTTTTTCACTGCAAACACAGTCTCAAAATTTACAAAACCCTAAGTAACAGACAAATTGAGTATTCAAACTCACTAGATCGGTAATCAATTATTAAGGTAACAGAGATACAAGTAAATAATTCAATCTGTTCTAGTGTAAGTTGCGTTTTTCTACCACTCGGATCATTTCCTAAACTTTTGAGACGACATGAAAGTCCTAATTACCAAGCCAAGCTCAACATCTGAAGTTAAGATTACATCTTGACGAACAAGAACATATATGTATAAATTAAAATAACCTAGAAGACTAGTAATGTTTGAACTCGGAATCCTTAAACAGGTGCAGGGAATGATGTGGCTGGTTTGATCCTTACATTTGTCTATTCAGCTTCCGGACATTTTATACTGAGTAATATTCTTTAGTATGTGGTTGACGTCCTTCTGTACTTCCCCAATTCTGTTATAATAAATCTTTCACAATTCTTCATTTTTGTTGTTATAGATCTTCTGTGTCTCCTGATGGGTCAGCAGTAAGTTTACGGAGTTACAATGCTACGATTCCCCGCAGTGGACAGAGTGCATATAGCCCATTGTATAGCTTTGAACTAAGAAAACGACAACAACAACAAAATCTTCTGTAGTTCTTCAATCTTGTTGTCATAGTCCTTCTGTACATGTTTTACTCTTTTCATATTCAGTCTGAGCATTTTCTATGACTTTTATCAACACAAATACATACATTTTCTATGACTTTTATCAACACAAATACATACATTTGCTACGACTTTTATCAACACAAATACATACATTTTCTATTTCGTCTTCCATCAAAATGAAACAGTTTGTGATTATACTGTAAAACTAATATCTCATTCTTGTAATTCCTCATTTAAAAGTCTGTTTCTTTTTATCCTGTAATTTTCTGCCTCTTTATTCTTAATCTTCTTCTAACTGTTTGTCTCTTTCTTCTGGATCTTTTTTCCACTGTTTCATTATTTCCATTAGATTTTCAATCTCGCTTCGATCACAGGTCGTCATCTTGAAGGTGAATCCCAACTTTTTATTTTATTTTTGTCAAAATAATCTAATTCCTGATAGCAGTGCTGTAACGTTTTATACTAATGATGGGCCTAACCTCATAAATAATGCCAAACAGTCATTTATTTGCTAATTTTCTAGTACGTACGGTACTTCTAGTATCTTTAATACTTCGTTGAAAGAAAAATTGAATTATCAAGGAACTGAATTCAAAGATAATTTGTTTAAAAAGCTATTTGAAATGACAAAATAAATCAAAATATGCATAACCATGCCAGAGAAGTTAAATAGATGAGGTAGTAATAAAACTTCAGAAGAACATTGAAGGGTCTTTTGTTTCATTATATATTAAAACCAGGAATAAACTGTTCATGGAAATATCAACATTGATAAAAAATATCAGTTTAGAAAATTTTAAAAACAAATTTTGATTCGTTAGCTGTTACGTATGAGATAAGAAATTTCTGATTGGTTATAACATATGTAATGGAATGATAAGTCCAAGTTGCCTGGATTTGGAAAACTAAATGTAACCATTTGCAAGGAAATGGTTATCTGGAGTTGCCAGGTGGGTATCCCGTGAATTTGGTTTGTAAGATGATTACATAATAAATAATTATTTGACAAGTCTGTGTGTGTGTGTCCGTTAAAACTCGCGAACCGCTTGTTCGACTATCACCAGACGTGTAATTTACCTTCAGGATTCCCGAGGCATGATATGTAGATAAGAAGGGTGTCGACTTTCAGATCTGACCTTTCTATGTCACCCCCATTGGGCCCCTGTATCTTCTTCGTCTGTTGAACGGGTACATCGGCTAGTAAAATATAATTATCATGTGACTAATAAACGAAACACCGATATTTTGATAGATATTTTAGTAAATAATTTTATAAACAAAAACGTTACCTACCTAGTGTTCGCATGTGACTTAGTGATTAAAGTACCATACTCTGAATCTGAAGGTCCACGTTTCACGTCCCACTCAAAATCAGCTCTGCACTTTGAGGCTATGGGTGCACTATAAGAGTAACTTTCAAATCACACTATTTGGTTGAGAAGTCCAAGAGTTGATAGCTGGTGCTGTTGACTTGCTGCCTTTCCTCTTATGTATATATATAGCGCAGATAGTAGTTGCATACTTTGCATGAATACACTCAGGTTAAGGGTCCATCTGATCGTTAGTATACGCTTGACACAAATAATTGGGTCATTTGGAGTTGTCAGAACCTATTTCATCACTGTGAATATCATCCAATATGGAGGATCCATAGCAATATTGAGGTCATAATACAATAGTTAAGTCAAATTAACATATTCTAACTACCTTAGTACCAGTTTTGTATTTCTTGTTAGAGTGATTTATATCATTTGTAGCAGAGTAGATACAGATTACTAAACCCTATAGATATTTTTACAATCTTCTATTAATTTGGAATAATTCACGTTTGGTGTCACCAAAGATAGCCTGACTTTAACTGTTGGTCCGAACCTCATCATTAATAGTAAAACGAGTTTTCTATTTTGTTTTATTTTAAATAACGACTTTTGTGTTAAAATTAAGCAGTGAAATGTATATTTGCTTCTGTTCTCTGATATTTTACTCATCTGATACCAACTTCTGAGAAATAATTTTTTGTTCATTTGATTTCTGATTACTTCGTTAATGTATTAACGAATAATGTAATTGTACAGTTTAGTACTGATAATAATTAGTCTTTCTAAGAAATGTGTTATAAAATGTATTGATAGCAACGTTGGATGAGAAAGATTCGCTACACAGCAACAAAAACGTATGATATCAAAACTGTTTCTGTGGGGGGTTTATGACTCAAGAAACCTGCCTTCGAATCACCCTTTCTAGTTTGCAATGTAACATGCACTGTGTTGTTCCTAGATGTTACCAGCTTGTACTGTTGGGGGTAACACTCTGAGACTTAAAATTAATATCTCCTTCTTCTGTTCATAGGAGGGATACGCAGAGAGTTACTAAAGATCTGTCCCTTCTTTACATGGAAGTACTAATATCGCTTTAATGTTTAAAAGAAGCATTTTATTTCGAATTACAATACACTAATACAGCACAAGCTCAACAAGCATAGTTAACGTAAATTTTCAGTCAAACATACAGAACATGTGTAAATATATGGTACGCTGGGTTAATAGTTTATGACTGTTTTTATATTTTTCATAGTTGCATTATATTTAGCACATTATTTTTAATATTACTGTGAAATACGTTAACTGGTATACAAAATAAAACATCTCGATATCTGTTAGAATTTTGTAAATGGTCAATGTATGTTTGTTTCACATGACACAAGTCATTATTTTCTGTGGTTGAAATAAGGTCTCTGGTACTTTATTCTATAGTTATTCTAACTTTTACACTAAAATAAGTTGCTTTTATCAATGTTTTATAAACTTATATTTATAAACGATTGATAATTTAGTTTAAAAATGAAATCTTCACTCAAAAATTAGAAATAAAACAAAACAGGTTTCATATATTTAACTCTTTGGTAGTTCTTCCTCATTTTTGACATTAAAAATAGATAAAGTCGTCTTTTCAAGTTTGTAGTTTAACTCCAATCAAATATTCCAAACTTCTACAGTTTATTTAGTATATGAAATGTGAAATAGAAAAATAGAAGAAATGCTACTACAACTAAGAAGTTATGTGGTCAGAAAGTAAACGTGAAGTTGTATAAAAATATGTAGTTGGCAAAAAACAAAAACATCAACATCACAATTTACTATATCGACGTTGAATGCACCAAAACACCACACTTGGAAAGAACTTGGTAATTATCACTTCAAATATGCAAGAAAGCAGCATCTGCAAAAATTAAGCCTCTTTGAATCGCCAAAACCATTACAACTAGATAGGTTATGAATAGTATGCATCTTATATGCATTTAAACATATAAAAGTATGTTTCATAGCTGCCTAAACTAAAATCTTCTAACTTGTAAAAGATCGTACGGTATTACATGTATAATCCCACATTAGGCGTTTATAAGTTTACGCTGTATTCTAGATTAGTTATATATATATATATCTTTTCATGTGAAAAACTTACACAGACCTTATTCAGAAACAGTGTGTGGGGGGAATAATTAACAACTTGTGTACATAAACACAAAACAAGTTTCACAAGTGACGTGGCTTGTAATCTAAATACATAGAGCAAACTAGTATAAATATTAAAACCTTTTGCACTTATTTCTATTTAATGGGTTACATTGTGGAACTACTGTAAAGGAGACTTCGGAAATGCTTCTACATCCAAAAACTTGCACTTTGTATAAGAAAAGCACAGTAGAAAGTTGGTCATTACATGCATTAGCCAGACGAAACGGTGTTTGTTTGTTTACTTTGTCGCACCTCTTCGGCATGTCGCACCTAAAAAACAGAAACAATAAAATAAACTCTGTTATACACATTCATCTAAAAAAACAGAAACAATAAAATAAACTATGTTATACACATTCATCTAAAAAAACAGAAACAATAAAATAAACTCTGTTATACACATTCATCTAAAAAAATAAAAATCCTCTCTTTAATTAAATGTAAAATCTACATGCTTTGTTCATTTGTTAAAAAAGCTGAAATTCGTCATATGAAAATATCCGTAAGTATACTTTGTAACACAACAAATTTAATTTTTGAACCCACCAAATTCAGAATCTTGTAAATTATTTAATATACCAACTTCTTAACGTATATACAGTAAAGAAGTCCAGAACAGAAGTACAGTAAAGAAGTCCAGAGATATAGCTATTGAGTAGATTGTTTATTTTCATTTTTGTTTAACTTTATTACAACGTTTCGACCACTCGTGTGGCCGCCATCAGGTAACTCTCGTCTGTTGTGTGAAATACTGCGTGAGCAATTGTTCCAATTTAGAAAATATATCGGGTGATGCCTGTGTTTTAATTTAAAATAGGTTTTAGTTCAACGAATAATTAATGCTTTTTTTATTTTTATTTTATTAATGTTTTTCTCATTGTATAATATGTTAAAGCTGTTAATGTTAATTGGATGTTGATTCGTTGTGCTGTGTTCGTAAATGTGTAAAGGGATTTTTATGTTATGTTGCGTCCCGTTTCGCCTATGTAAGTGCTATCGCGTCGATCGTATTGATACTTGTAGATGTTTCTATCGTTGAAATTGTCGGAATAAACCTTCTTTAGATGACTTTTGATTTTAGTGCTCAGTTTTTGAATAAAAGTAACTTCGCTGTTTATATTATTTTTTGTATGCTTGTTTACAAATGTTTGTGATGTTTTTGGTTACATACTCATGATATGGTAAGACACATACTAGTGTGTGTGTGTCTGAGTTTGTGCATTTTGTTTCCTTCATAGAGATTATGTTGCTTTTCTTTACTTCTTTTATTCAATTTGTTTTTATATTAGGGAAGTGACATTTGTTAATAAATGTATCAGATATTGATTTTAGCTCGTGCTGCAAATTACTGCTGCTGCTTATGTTAAATGCTGTGTTGTAAATGTAAGAAAATGTGCCTATTTTTTGTTGAGTTAAGTGGGCTGAGCTCCACTTTATATAGTTGTTATCGTTACCAGATTTAGGGAAGATTTTTGTGTTAAAACCGTTGAAGTATTTTTCTGTTGTTATGTTCATGTAATTTAAAACCTGAAGATAGCTTTGATATACGGAAATACCTGTTAGCTGAGTTCTTGCACAGATCTTAAAATATAACGTTCATAAATGTAAACATCCGCTCATGTAGATACATAGATCAAGCTGTACTATTTCCTATAGATCATTTTCCAGACGATTCTGCTATGATTAGTGTCTGACGAAAAGCTTCAGCAGATATTTCCTTCGCGACATTTCAACCAACAATTGGTCCAGTTATCAACGCTACTTTCAAGTTTTGAACAACTCGACTTTCAAGATCTACGTATCTACATGAGCCGATGTTTCTATTTATGAACGTTATATCTTAAGATCTGTGCAAGAACTTAGCTAACAGATGTTTCCGTATATCAAAGCTATCTTCAAGTTTTGTATAACGAAAAACCTTTTCAAATGTAAAATCTGGTTTGCATTCTGTTTTTCACGAGTGAATTTGATGCTAGAGTGAACGTTGTTTACGTGTTGTAGAAATGACTGTTGGTGGATGTTGTTTTCAAATCCACAAAATGCATCATCTTGGAAGGTGCAGGTGACATGGCTTTATATTTTGTTGATAAACAATTCAGAAATCCAGGTGACAGAGGGCTGCCTATACTTATGCCACCTATTTGTTCATAAGTTTTGTCTTAACAGCTGAAACATATTTTTAGTGCAAAGTGGAACAAGTCTTTCAAAATTTCCAAACTCAGGTTGTAATGTAATTTGTCGGAATTTTTTTATTTCATTTCTAGAGCTAGGTTTGTTGCTTCATCTTTCGGTATTATTGTATACATGGAGACTACGTCAAAAATGTACATTTTGTGATGATTGTTGAGGTTTTTGAGAATTCTTCGAAAATCTAGAACACCTTTAATCTTGTATTGATTGTCGTTATGCGACAGTTTGATCAGAATCGTGCAAGCTTATGGTTATAGTTGTCATAAGTGGAAAGGATGGGGCGGATGTCAATCGGGTTTTGTGATTTTTCGGAGCACCAAAAAAAAGGGGGTACGTGCATTGGTGACTGTTAAGATTATGACATGTTTTCTGTAATGTCATTGTTCTTTTTTTTTAACTTTCACGGTAGGTTAGTCGATTTTCTTTCATAAATCGAGCACAAAAATCAAAAGTCGTCTAAGGAAGGTTTATTCTGACAACGTCAACGGCGGAAACACCTACAAGTATCAATGTGATAGTACTGGACGCAACATAACAGTTTGAATCAAAGAACATAACAATCACAATTACATATTTACGAACACAGCACAACGAACCAACATCCAATTAACAGTAAGAACTTTAAAATAGCATGCAATGAGAACAACATTAATATAAGAAATATAAAAGAAGCATTAATTGTCTACTGTGTGAAATACTGCGTGAGCAATTGTTCCAATTTAGAAAATATATCGGGTGACACCTGTGTTTTAATTTAAAATAGGTTTTAGTTCACGAACAAAAGTTACCTGATGACGGCCACACGAGTGGTCGAAACGTTGTAATAAAGTTAAACAAAAATAAAAATAAAAAATCTACTTAAAAACTGTATCTCTGGACTTTTAGTTAGAGTTGTAGTGACTTTCCTCTCCTCACAACAAGTATATACAGCATATTTATAAACAGATACTGATTAGATTTACAATGATCCAAGTATGTTTAGCAGCTTTGAGGGGAAAATAGATGCGGTTTATTCAACACTCATATGTTGAAAAAATAAAATATAAAAATAAATAAAGTTAATATGAATTAGCCTTAATTTTTATAGCCCTTAACTGTTTGTGTACAATATTCTTATTACAAGCACAGTATTATTTACAATTAACAAAATTTATGAACTGCTATAAATTCTGTTTGATGAAGATTGTGAACTGGGCGTGGCCTACTGGGTAGTATGTCAGGCTCTATAACTAAGGGTAAAAGATGCAAGCCGCGATATGCCATTGAACACACTCCGCACTTTCAGCTCTACGGGCGTTCTAACCGTGACAGTCAATCCAGGTATTTGATTCAGAAATACCCGCGTTGCAACATGGGTCTGCTGTCTAGCTGCTCTTCCTCTATCACCAATTATAAGTGGTTACGCACAAGCTCTTGGAGTCTCTGACTTACCCGTTTAACTCACATGTTGCATCAAATCTCGTCCAGGTTGAAAATACTAAATCATAAATTTTGCAGTGATACATTTATTTATATAACTATTTCACATATTAAACGAACTGAAACTGGTTACTAAAATGTATATATTTGAAGAACACAACATTCATTATTACACATTGAGATCGAATTCTCACTACTTGATCCCCAGTGATACAGCTTTGCATTTATCATTGCAATTAATACATTTACACTTAAAAATGTTCTATTTTAATCATAAATTTTTATATGGGCAACATCTGATTTCCTCAGGGCGACTTTCACACTAATAAAGAAAGTGACATCCTTTGAGCAAAGTCTCAAAACAGAGTTTCTAACGTTAGTGCTTACCAACAGGTAACAAGTTCAAGAACAGACTACATGTGATATTATTATTGTAGTTCTAATATTCAATTTTTCAAGAGCTTTCAGTTTTATATACAATTTCATATTTAAGTTTTCACACAAATTGTCTAGCGAAATTAATAAAAAGTTAGGGCATGTCAGGCGCCTCGGCAATTTTCATTGTATGTTTTGCAATATAATAAAATATACATTGAGCTGCACAAATACGTCTTTGTTATTTGTAAGTATTTCTGCACGCTATCATGACCACACATTCAGTTCAATTTTAGCTTTATCCATAAATGTAAGAAGTACTTCTACGTTATATTGGCTAATCAAAACTATTGGTTTTCTGTTAAGCCTAATTGAATTATTTTCCATTGCTTATGTTAGCGGCATCTGTTGAGCATATTTTAAAACACATATGTATTTTGACTCTTAGTGCACATACACTCTTTGTATCTTTACAAACTGATATTAAATGAAATGTACTATGATTAGTGAGGTATGAAAATAATTAGCTTCTATTGTGCTCAATAACTCATTGAGGAAAATGCTTTACGAACATAACTATACTGCTCCAGAAACTTTTACCTTCATACGTTGTAATAAAAATAACTCTTAGCCTTTAAGTTATAATCCTTCACGATAGGAATATTTTGTTTGATAAAAATATTATTTTTAATGATAATGTACATGTTGTGTAACCTATGGTTAAAACTTTAAAGTCAGTTGAAGAGATTAATCCGGTTTTATCTTTGCGTTTATTTCTAATCGGACCCTGTGCAATTGTTAAATACCATAATTCATTGAAACCTTTGTAAGGAAATGGCTTTTGTACACATCTATTTGTTTCAGAACTAGTTGATTACTTTACATTTATCATAAAAGATAAAAATAAGTAAAATATTCTCTAACCTATATAAAACTAGCCAGCTCAATGAAGCTAAAATCCTAAAAATTTTCGGTTTTACATTTTCATAATTCTTAAGTGATTATACACTAAAATGAGATTAACGGGGTTTTAAATCCGTTTTCAATCACCAATTTGAAAAGGACTTAAAACCCATTAATATTGTTTTAAATCACCGTTATAAGAGGCCTAACTGCATTTCTTTGATTTGCCAACCCAAACTGTCCTGATGAACCTTCAATAGGTGAAACTGCAGTCCATAGCAGTTGATACGGCCAATCAAAGAAAACATTAGGTCTCTACATCACGGATTCTCCTTTCAATTTTTATCTTTGGTGAAACTGAAAAGTAATCTGTAACATATATA